ATTGGGGTGGGGGGGGGTGGGGGTCTCACCAGCACCATAGCGAAGCGCTCCTCCAGCTCGCACGGCTCCGGCATCGGCATCTTCCCGGCGCTCAGCCCCCCGCCCACCCCCGGGGCTGCTCCCGTTCCCGGGCCCCGGGGCAGCGCTTCCCCGTCCGCGCTCTCCACGTTCCCCATCCCCGGGCCCAGCAGCGGGGGGCGGTGGGGAGCCCCAGCCGCTCCGCCCGCCCCGCCCCGCCCCGCCCCGCCCGTCGGGGCCGCCCCGTCCGCTCCTCCAACGGCGCCGCCCGCCACCAGGGGGCGCAGCACCGCGACGCCGCCACGCTCGACTCGACGCTGATTGGTCCGCCTCAAGGTTGACGGCGACCAATCGGCACCGAGGCTCCTGCGGAGCTCTGACCAACGGTAGCGCTCGGGCGCGGCTGCTCGCCAATAGGCTGCGGAAGCGTCTCTTTTATCCCCGCCCCCCGCGGAGAAGGCGAACCAACGAGGCGAAGCGGAAGGCGGGACTTCGAGGCTCGCCCACCAATCGGCGGAGGGGGGCGGAGCAGAGTGGGGAGCGTCGGAGGCCCGGACGGACGGCGGAGCGCCGCGCAGGTGAGGGGCGCGGGGGGGGCGGGGAGCGGCGCCGGGGGCGGCCACGAACGGCGACGACGAACCTCGACCGCGGCCCCGGGGGCCTCGGAGCACCCAGAGCTCCTCCGGGCCCCGCCCCGAACGGCCCCGCCCCCCCGTCAGCCCTCCCCGGGGGTCGCGGCCTAACGGGGGGCCGAGCGCGGTGCGGGCCGCGCCCCGAAGGGTGTTGGGGGGGGGGGGGGGGGAAGGGGGGCGCTGTGAGGCTGCGGCGCGGCGCGGGGGGCGGGGCGGGGCCGGGGGGGTCAAAGGTCACCCTGAGGTACGGAGGGGCAGAGGGGTCAGAAATGCTGCGCGTCCTGTGGGGCGGGGCGGGGCGGGGCGGGAGGAGCCCCCATAACCGCCGTCACCCCATAACCGCCGTCACCCCACAGCCCTGCGAGGAGCCCCCACACCCGCCACGACCCCCCCCCCAACCCCACACCCCCCCATGACCCCACAGCTCTAGAAGGAGCCCCCACAGCTCCCTCGGTCTCTGCAGCCCCACACCCCCCATAACCCCCATAACCCCCATAACCCCCCCAGCCCCATCGCTCTGCTCCGCCCCACAGCCGTTTCCCCATTCCGGCCCTTTGCCCGTCTCTCTGTGGCCACAATGAACGTCTTTGACCGCAGCATCAACTTGGACGCCCTCTTCAAGTTCTCCCACATGTGAGTGATGTTGGGGTGGGGGGGGGGGGCCGGGGGCGCGGTGCGTGCCCCCCCCCCCCGCCGCCCGGCCCCCGCCGGGGCCCCCCCCCCCCCCATCCCTCCTCCCCCCCCCCCCCCCCCCCCCCCCCAGCTCCGCCTCCACCCAGGAGCACCTGAAGCGCGTCTATGGCAGCTTTGCTCTCTGCATGCTGCTGGCGGCCCTGGGGGCCTACGTCAATGTGGCCACCCAGCTGTTCCAGGTATGGGGGGGGGGGGGC